GCTCAAGTGGTAGAGCTCTAGCCTTGAGCTGAAGAGCTGAGGGACAGTGCCCAGGCCCAGAGTTCAGGCCCCACGACTGGACCCCCCAATAAAAAAGTTCCACAGAATATTTTAAGTCCCAAAAGAGAGTAAAATTAGGGTCCCAAAGTTTTGACATTATTTGCTTTGATACTTTTTATACTGTCCTTATTTTTCACTTGTAATAAGCCAGCATTGACCTGCACGGTGAACATTAGGAATTAGTGAACTGAGACTTGAGAACTTTGTCCTAGCTTTGTTACATGTTATATACAGTTGGAGAAACTACTTATGTTCTCTTATTGGTTATTAACTGTAAAATTAGGATATTATTATTTTCCTGGTTTTATAACATTATTGTAAAGATAAAACAAGTTTATCGATTTGAAAATACTTCAACAATTAAAACATACAAATTTATGTTTTTTATGAATGCAACAGTAGAGGTTAAAATATTAAAACATTAATTTTGAAATATTAAATTGTATGAAGAACTATGATTTTGGGTTTGCTTCTTGTTAATTAAAAAAACTAAATCTATGAAAATGTGTGATGAGGAAATTATGTGGAAACAAGCATTCTTGTGAGGTAAAAAGCATTTTATTTTTACTGACAGTTATGACTTTAATAGACAATGGAATTCATTTGGAGAAACACATCCTTCACACTTAAAAGAAAACAGAGAATGTAACCTGGAAATCATCACTGTATTTTTGTTATGTATTTTCAAAGAAAAAAGCTCCCAAAAGTTCAATTACTATGTTGTGAAGAACCATAAAACCTTTTGAATGCAGAGGAGATATCCTCAGACTTGAAAAACAAACAAAAACAAACAAACAAAAAAATTTGAGGAACAATCTAGTCTATGAGACAGTAGGTCACTTCCTGGACTTTCTGAAATACTTCTCACTAAATTACATTCTCTAGATCAGAAAAGACTGTGTTCATTCTCAGTGAGGTATATCAGCCAACCATGAGGCCAATAGCAGAGAATATGTTACTTACTAATGGTTAAAGTGCTAATTTATTGAAAAGAAGTCTAAAGATTGACTCAAGATGTCAGAATGATCATGTACATCTGCTGCTGTTGCCCCTTAAGCACATATACAGACAGATAAACATACATCTATTTAAAAGTAGTTATTAAATAGGGAAAATTATGATTAAGAAGGACATTTGAAAGAAATTCTATAAGCATATTACCAGAGAAAATTCTGATTTAAAAAGGATCTTTTAAAGAAATTCTGCAAGTATATTAACAGAGAGTCAATGTTTAGATGAACAAAACAAAGCCCAACATGCGAGTAGAGAGGCATGCTGGGGAGATCTGCAAGCTTTGAGTCAGGGGATGTCAGGAAGGATGGATCAACTATGGGTAGATATCAGTTTAGAAAATGAAACACTTGCACATGGAACAGAAAATCAATCCTCCCTCCTTGTTCTCCTGCTTGTACTAAACAATAGGCAGATATTTCCTGCATTGAATCCTAGAGTGGAGCTAAAAAGGCAGGGCAATACCAAAGTAGCTATTGACCCCAGGAGAATGGAAGAGGCCATCGGTCAGCTCTTCCTCAGATCCTGTCTGAGCATCCTCAGGCTGTAGTAAACAGAAACCGATTATACTGATGATAGTCTGGGAATCTCATGATCAAGGAGCAGTTCAACTAAGAACCACAAGCATTTGAGGGAAAAAAAGTATAGTACGAACAAACAAAAGCTAAGGGAATTAAGGGATAAACTGTGACGTTCCAAGAGTCGAGAGGCTATCATCCATTTCAGAGGAAGAGCATTGAGGCAGCATGTAGACATTGAGAATTAAGAAAATAGTAGGCTTAGTAGTCATTTAAGTTTAAATAGGTAGCCCTGTATAATACTAGACATTCTAATAAGCAAATTAGCAGAAAGAGTAAAGGGAATTCTTGCATTACTTAGTGGTAAATACAATAAGAATGATGAGAAACAAGTTGAGTTCTAGAAGATAGTTCTAAGTGTTCTAACCTTCAGTTGGTAGCTGTTCCAAAAAGAAAGAGGAGGAAAAGGAGGAAGGTGGAAATAACAAAAGCAATATTTTTGAAATGACCTTGAATAGAAGATAAGAATAGTTGGAGCCTAGGCTCGGTGACGGAGCACATACTTAGCACATAGGAGGCGGCCCTATAATAATACATATGTGCAAGCATATAATATACATACTTGCACATACATACATGTGCACCCATACACATGGATCTTCAAATTAAAAGTGTTTAAATCCTATCATCTCCAGTTCTGATGCTTGGTGTTTTTTTTTTAAGATATTAGTGGGGATTTTACTATAAAAGGGTTAAAATAGAGAGAAACAGAGAAATATTTCCTGGTTCTCATACAGGAAATGTGAGTTAAAGACTCCCAGTTTTGAAGTTTTAATCATTCTTTGAACTGTAGACTCATGTTTCATTTGCTTTACTTCTTTGCTTGTTTTATAATTTTTGATTTTGGCCTTGGCTTCAGCAGATTTTTTTTCCCCCTGTGGATCATGGAAATATTTCTCTGTGGTGGAGAAGTGGGTACGCTTTCTCAGATAGCTAAGCAGTGTCACTAGTAAGAACTTTATGTTAATTGGTGTACTGGGCAAAGTCCTAAATGTAAATTCATATTTCAAACTGGAATGTGGCACAAGCTCAGGGTTTTTGTTTATCACAGACAGCTTACTATTTACAGCTCAGCAAAGCTAAACTTTGCCTTCCTTGTTATGAGTGGAATGGAGTCTGCCTTGTATGGATAAGTCAGCCATTTGAGAGTTCTAGTCTTATGCAGGTTTCAATTCTATATCTCTTACTTGGAGACCATAAATGTTATATTTTTGTTCAATATGGATTAAAATTTTAAGTCCCTAGACTTTGGGACCTTTTCCATAGCTGTTTAAAATAACCTTTCCCTTCTTTTCTCCCTACCATGCATTCTTTGTTCCAAACATATAATAGTCCATTGATATATACTACGATAATGAAGTGACTGAAACAAAAAGATAGTCCTGCATGTATTCTCAAGGTATCTTCAAGATTTATATAGCTACAGAAACAAGCATGTTCCTATGTTGGAACACTGAAGTTTACTGCTCTAGGAGTTTGGATATGTGTTGTGTGTTTCATTTCACTCAGCATTTCAAAGTTCTTGTAATGCAAAGATCTCATTATTAGCCTTCATCTGTCATGCTGTAAGAACTAGAAGTCAGCCGGGCGCTGGTGGCTCACGCCTGTAATCCTAGCTACTCAGGAGGCTGAGATCTGAGGATCGCGGTTCAAAGCCAGCCCGGGCAGGAGAGACCGTGAGACTCCTATCTCCAATAAACCACCAGAAAACCGGAAGTGGCGCTGTAGCTCAAGTGGTAGAGCGCTCGCCTTGAGCTGAAGAGCTGAGGGACAGCGCCCAGGCCCAGAGTTCAAGCCCCACGACCGACAAAAAAAAAAAAAAAAAAAAAAGAACTAGAAGTCTCCAACACAAATATATGCTAATAGCACCCATTCTTTTCTCTTTTTTAACTCATTCTTTCTATTAAACTTTATTTTATGGGGGGAGGATTAAAGGATAACCATATGCCTAGAGTCTTATCAATACTGCAGATAATAGTGAGGAACTCATAGATTCCCATGGGAATTTGGAAATGCCTTTACAGAAGAGGAACGTATGCTATCGAACATATGTTATACTAGATAGATCAGGATACCTCAAACTAATCATATTAGAACAACTCATAGCTGTTCCAAAAAGAAAGAGGAAGAAAAGGAAGGGATGGAAATAACAAGAAAAGTAATACAAAAAAAACCCCACCTTTTTCAAATTCATCCAAAAAACAATGTTGAATTAGTGTCACAAATTATCTCAGTAAAACAGGACACAATTCAGGAAATATTTTCATGTCCCAAATACTCATGTGTCTTTAATGAAGCATGTGTGTATTTTACTTTGACAGAAATATTTTCAGCTTTTCACACTTTTAATTATATTGAGCACTTCAACATTTTCGAATGAGGGGGAAAACTTGTTTTTCTTTGCCAGTACTAGGGCTTGAGCGCAGAGCCTCGGAGCCGTCCCATAGCCTTTTCACTCAACACACTTGAGCCAGATCTCCACTTCTGGTTTTTGTTTTTGGTGGGAGTGAGGGCGGGGACAAGTGGTTAACTGGAGATAGAATCTCACAGACTTTTCTGCCTAGACTGTTGTTGAACTGTGATCCTCAGATCTCAGCTTCCTGATTAGGTAGGATTACAGGCGTAAGTCACTGGTGTCTGGCTCTTAATTGTATCTAAAGGAGTTCTAAGTTTTAGCATAAGAAGAAAAATGTATCCTTAAATTGAAATTTTAGCTATAGTAATAATGACAATATGATTACATTGGCCATTTATGGGTAATCAATACTCTTATAAAGTTGCTATTCTCCTAATGATCCAGACAACAGAACCAGAGTCTAACAGGTTCTTATGGTGACTTATCAAAGTCATCATTCCAACCTGTTTTGATTCCAGAGCTATAACTAAGGCTTGTTCAATGGGGTCTCTACTTTGTAAGAATTTTATGCTATTCAATAACATTCATTTTTGCATAAAATGAAGTTGTTTTGCTTATAAAGAATATGACAGAAACAACGGTTTATAATGCATCGCTCATTGGAGACCATTCTCAAAATTTGAGTGTATTTTGTCTTTTATCTCTTTCTCCTATGTAAATTATATGTTCTGATTACTGAATAAAAACAAAACAGGCAGGCATCAGGACCTGTGTGATTATGAAATTTCTCTACATTTTGTTTTTATCTGTAAAAGATAACTTATTCTTACTTACCCTGACTTTCATTGGTGGGTTGGGGGGCCCGGGCATGATGAGACAAGCATGTCTGTCCAGCAGTTGTTGGAAGGATGCCTTCCATCTTCTTCCTTCGCTCCGGCTTCTGGGGGAATGGCTTGGCTGTCGCTGTCTGCTGTCTGCTTCTGATAAGTGAGTTTTCAAGTCTTTCATAGCTCTTGGGAATTCTGTCTGCAGAGACCTGCTGAGGTCATTCTGCTTCCTGCTGAATTGCCTTTCTTTGTTGTTTTGGACCATTTTGATGAACATGACCCCAAAGTACTCAGTAATACCTCTGTTCCCTTCAGAGCTATGGCCCACTCCTTGGCTTCAACTCTGTCTGCACAAAAGCTCCATGTCTCTGGAAAGAAAAACAAAATTGACATTAACTAGGGGAACACAAAATTGCTGGAAGATGCAGCTGAGTGTGTGGGTTAGCTCACATCCGGATACTGCAGGCACTTACTTTTCTGCCTCTAGGTTGGCTGTCATCCTACTTCAAAACTAAAGACACCCACCAGGATAATTATTCATAAGCCTTGTAAACAAATTATAAAATAGGGCAAAGCAGAAAATTAACAGGAAGGAAAAAAAGCAGAAAGTCAAAGGAACATCTCAACTCCTCAACTTTTCTATCATTGATTATATAAGACTATACAGATCAAATTTTATTTCTGGCTGCATAGATTGCTATGGACATAATAAAAAACTACAATTTATAGTTTTAGACATTTGTGATTGTATCCTAAATTTTAGTTCCTATTTTAGTTAAAATGAAATACAAAAGCAAGAAAATCCCAACAATCGATGATCAGGTATCTATTTGGCCTTAAACCTTATATACCTTCCATGCCCTTTATATGTATATATATATACATCTACTGAGAATATCAAAAAGTTCATGAAACTGCTTTTGATTTCAATAATTGAAGTAAGCCAAATTCCCAAAATGTGATTCCAAATTATGACAGCATCCCTTGGTTTTTACTATGGTATATGGCAGAGATTCTGTCTTACATACTTAGCAACAATTTTCATTCATTTAAATAAACTTTGAAGAAGGATTGTGAGTTGAAAAGGTTTAAAGTTCTATCAATAATCTAGTCTATTGTAATGTATTACATCATTTCTTCTAAATAGTATCTTACCTTGCCCCTGTTGGGCTCATTGGGAGTTCTCCTGGAATCGTATTGGTGTATAAAAGAGATGCGTTCTCTAAAATTGTTTTGAAGTTCTCTTAAATCCTCACAGACAAGTGGAACTAAGGACAACAAAATAGAATTTTGTCAAATGAGGACAATAGTTAGATTTGTCAGTGAAAATGGAATCACTTTATAAACACTACCCACAAAATGACAAGCGTTCCTGTATTAAACAGGCCTTGAATACACCTATTAGGCAAATAGTTAACCACTAAGGTACATCTGCAGCCCAACAAATTGAAATTCTTTAGATCAAGGTTACTTACTCATATCTACATAATAAATATAGAGGATTTACCATTCTTCTCCTTGGGGGAAAAAAGAGTAAAATAACCTAAAGTCAAATTGTCAAGGTCAATTGTCAAACTTAGCAAACTCTTTCCATACTGGGGAAACCTGCATGTGAGAACCTACCCCAAAGTGTGAGACATGCCCCCCCCACTGCCCCGAGGTTCTAGTGCATTAATATGAAGACTTAGTGAAATGGTTGAAGATGATTTGAAACTAAGGAAAAATTATGAATACTTTCAAAGAGAAGAATAGGTTATACATAAAAGAAAGAAAAGATAGTCAAATAGCCCCTAAAACATCATCAGGTACAAGATAAATAAATAATAATATTTTAAATATTTTTAAAAAGTGAACTCTAAGCCTAGAATTTTAATATCCAACCAAGCTCTATTTAAGTATAAAGCCAAGTTTGTAAAAGGATTTCCCCCATAAAACAGATCTACTGTTTTTTGAGAAAAAAAAATCAAATAAATAGGACTAGAAATAGTCGAGAGTACTTGATATATATGAAGGAAAATAGAAAAGTTTTAGTTTCCTAAAAAGACAAAATATAGAAAAAGTATATCTATATAAACTCGAACCAACACTATCAATAAAAACGGGATAGCTGAACCTGGTGGTTTACTCCCGCTACGTTAACAGTTAGGAGGCTGAAGGTAGGGGCATCCAAAGTTCAAGGCAAACCTGGGCTACATAGTAAGAATTTCTCACAGGGGGCAGAAATGGTCTTGTGACTAACCTTCTGTTTTACTTTGGGGGTATAAATGTATAAGAGTATAGTTGCAGGCTGGGAAGGTGGCTCAGTGGTAGAGCACTTGCCTTGCATGCATGAGGCCCTGGGTTTGCTTCCTCAGCACCACATAAGCAGAAAAAAAAAAAGCTGGAAGTGGCACTGTGGCTCAAGTGGTAGAGCTCTAACCTTGAGCTGAAGAGCTGAGGGACAGTGCCCAGGCCCAGAGTTCAGGTCACACGACCGGACCAAAAAAAAAAAAAAAAGAGTATAGTTGCTATATAGCATGGTAAATGCATGGTTAGTTTTATTTATTTATTTATTTTTGGTAGGTCATGGGACTTGAACTCTGAGCCTGGGCACTGTCCCGGAACAATTCAGTTCAAGGCTTGAGCCACAGTGCTACTACTTCTAGCTTTTTCTGCTTATGTGGTGCCGAGGAATCAAACCCAGGACCTCATATGAGGCACACACTCTACCACTGAGCCACCTTCCCAGCCCCCCTTTTATAAAAGACTGACAGGCTACTTTCTACTATGACTGCACCTTATGTTCCCATTAATAATTAACTAGTTATCCATTTTCTCAGTATCTTCACCAGCATTTGGTGTTAGCAATAGTTTTGTTTTTAAACTTCCTGAAATTGTTTAGTAATCTCGTGGTGATAGCTGGCATTTCTTTAATGCTTGGTAAAATCAAATATGTTTTCTTTTTAAGTAGTTAATTTGTCAATTGTGAAATTTATTTTTCCCCGCATTTTTTATTAGCATCAATTAGTTGTACAAAGGGATTTCATTTTCACACATCCCAATCTGCATACAATGTCTCACGAGGCTCACTCAATCCTTTTTCCCTCCCTTATCCTCCCCATTGACTTTCCAAGCATAAACTTTTAAAAAAGACTTACATCTTTAGCTCTTTTGCATTCTAAAGAGTCCTGGGCTGCCAAAGGAGAAATCCAGCTACCACGTGGGACTACACGGAGGAGAGGCCTCCCCTTCTCCAAATAAACAGAGCAAAAAGAGCTAAAACAGTGGAGAGTCTGCCTAGCAAGTTTGAGGCTTTCAGTTCAGACCCTGATACTGCCAATAAACAAAACAAATCCTCTCTTAAATAGTAAATAACTAGGTATGAAAACACCAAAGGTGACAATCAAGTTTTTGGTAATTACTTAAAAATTCAAATTGTTCTAACTAATTAGGAAGCATTATTAATTAAGATATACAAAATAAGGCAAATTCCATGCAGAAAATTTCTAATCTGTGTGTTTCTTAGAAATTTGATCTAATTAAAATAATTTGCTAAATGAGTTTGTATCTACATTTTCTCAACAAAGCCAGGATTCAAACACACAATTTGTTCCTTGTATTGGTGAGATCCAGCAGATTCACTTTGAGAATTTTCTTAATTTTCTGGTTGTGGCTGAAAAAAATTCACCAGTATTATTTGTTCTATAGAAATTCTACTCTTTGCAATAGTATTTAGTTTGATCTTACATTAAAAACCATCAAAATAAAAATACTACCGGTCTTCAGAACACAGCAAAAGAGAGAAATGTAATAATAGCAAGAAATCCTTGTTACATTACATATTTCAATACAAAAGAAGCAACATAAGTTAAAAACTATTTTAGAAAACGAATCTTACCACTATATCTCAATTTGCAATTCAAAAGAATGCTAAAATATCAAGAAGTTGATCAGCAGCCAGTTTTATTTGAAGATGAAATACCACCATTCATCAATTACATCAGCTTTTCCAGCTTATAAAGTTTTATTCTATAAAACCAAGTGTGAAGACTTCTTGTAGGAACTCTGCTATGGTGAATAGAGCCATTTGCTAACCTCCTGGAGGGCAGCCCGGAAAGTGTGTGGCAAGAAGACACAAAAGGTACTTTCATTGTCAGTACAAGATAACATTGCTGAAATGCCAATGGCTGGGCGTAATGTAGTGGGATGATGGGGCAGAATGATTATGAGGTGACTCTTAATTGGGATTAGCACATGTTGACATGCATATTTTTTCTGTTTATAAGCATATGTAAAAATCTGGCAAATAAAATGTTACATTAAAATGTTACATTAACAATCAGTTCAATGTCTCTAAGCACTATCTAAAATAAGAATTCATTGTAGGTCTTTGGGCTTTTTTTGAATGCTGGTTGAAATTACATTCTGACTTTAAATGACTGGTTGAGTAATATGTAATTTCCATTCCGTTATCCAATACATTCAAAAATATTTATTGAGTTTGGGCATTTATTGTTATATCCTAGGCCTTAGAATATAATAATAAACTTAGTAAGAGAAAGACTAATAAAAGGGAAGAAAACTACCAGAGAAGATGAGACAGAGACAAAGAAAGATACAGAGAGACAAAACATACACACACAGAGACAGAGAGACAGACACAGAAAATCTGAGTGAGCATGCCAAGTGTCTAAATCTAAATTCAGCTCAACACTTAGCATGTTGTAATATTAATAAGAATAGTTATCATTTATTGTCTACTATGAGCTAAACACTGTGATATGCATGTGTGCTTTCATTTGGTTCTTATAATAATCTTTCAGTGTTAATTATTAGTAGTTTCATTTCATAAACTGAAAGTTAAGTCATGGACCCAGAATCCAAAAATTCAGGGTGTTGAATCAACACTAAATTCCAAGGAGAGTGGTGAAGGTGATAGAGTTATTTTGATTTCCAGTTAAGCATGTGTATTTACCATCATACTTTCCAAAGCTCTAGTATAACAATAGTAAAGAAACTAGGAAGGCCTAGGAGAGAGAGAGAGAGAGAAAAAAAAAGCCTACATGAAAGCAAAGATACTAACAAACTTGGAGGCTGGAAGCTAGATAGATAAGTGACTGTGGATTTGAGTAGACCTCAGGAAACTGGAAACAAGGGTTTATGGGGTGAGAGTGAGGAAAAAAATCAAGCCAATTCATCCTATAGCATTCCAGCAACCCCCAGGGATCTGGACACCCAGAGGTGGGACCACCAGCAACAGTGGTGGCCGAGGATTACTGGGATGAACTCTCCAGCACCTCTTCTTAAGAGACTCTGATTATCTGTTTTCACCCCAGGCAGGAATTTGGAGGATTTCTCTCTGCCAAAACTGACTAGTTCAACATAACAGACTCATAGATTTCCCCCGATACCAGAGAAATCCCTTATTAAATTGCTAGACCTTCCTGATCAACGGAAAACCAAGTCTAGTCTTGCCTTCCAGACCCCTTCGTGTAGATCAGGGACTGCTCCTTATGTGGGAAGGACTGCATGATTAGTCAAAAAGAAAGTAAAACTCATGCACCATATTTAGATTCTTCATTTTAACCAACTCAATTTACTAGGTTTTCAGCCCAACCTTTCTGCACTTGTTCACAGATCAGATTCCACTCTGTCTTGTAAAAACCACGCCTCTAATGCATCCTTTCCATGTTTTGTTTCTTTAACCCAGAATGAAATGTAAAAAGACATTTGAAACAAAATGAACACAGAATCCTTCAAGATTAAAAAAAAATCATTCTACCTCCTCTCTCATAATTATTTGCCCATTCCAAAGGAGTGTTTTCTACTTAGTGACTAGCCTTTTAACGAGTCTTTACAAAGTAATTAACTTTAATTTGCAAGAATATGTAATTAAGTTATATAAATTCAATAACAAGTATGCAGACATAAATTTGTTTGGAAACAAGCCTGACCTTCAGAAAGCTTTTCTACCTCTTTAGTCTGGGTTTATGGCCATGTCTGAACCCCTATATCGTGAGTAATACAAGATATAGTAGATAGACATAGCAGACTAAACAGGACTGTGTAGGTCTTGATGGGAAATTTGAGATTTATTCTATGCACAATGAGAAATAATTGGAATACCAAAAGGAGGAAAGGGATATCACTGATGTTTTAAAAGCATGCTTCTAGGCTGGGCACAGTGGCACATACATGTAATTGAAGCTATTTGGGAGGCTAAGGGAAGAGTACAGTAAGTTTGAGGCCAGCCCATACAACAAAAGGAGAACCTGACTTCCCCAAAATA